GTATATCTGGTCAGGGCTTTCATTTGTGCATGCACATGAAGGTAAGCCAGGACCTAGGAATAATTGTGAAAAGTTAGGAGATTTATCTTTACTATTTCCACATTTCTTTCCTATACTCTATCCCCCACCCCCATCCAAACTGAAGGTTTATGTTGGTTTCATTACCAGTCTACAAATACTATCAAGATGAACACTATTGTGGATGCAACGAAATATAAGGGTAGGCTCTGACCTAGAGGAGTTCATATACAAATAACCAGCGATTAACTACTGCAATGAAATAGACCCTGTTGACACCCTGCCCTAGATCCCTCTATCAACTTAGTGGATCCATCCCCCACTGGTGTTGAGTGTTGGTTTTTAATGGCTCGTAGCTATCCCATTTCTGGAGAATTGACTGCCCTCAGCCAATGGGGGTAGGGAACAAAACTAAGACCTTATGCTTTCTCTACCCTAGCATGACTGACTGACATGGGTTTGTAAGAGGCCCGAACTCATTCCTTAAGGTGGACAAACCCATGGTAAAATCCATGCTGGAGAGCCCTGCAGGAGGAAACAGTATCACCAAAGCACAGTGATAGTTAGAACCTTGGAGACAGAGTTGCCTAACAGGACCAGGGTCATGTAGGCACTTGCCACTGCTAAGGAGCAGGGTAGGAGTTAGGAAGAAATATACTCTTTTCTCTCTCCGCCCTTCCCTGGGTCTGCATCACTTCAACACAACAGGTGTCTTAGTCTGTCTGAGCTGCTATAACAAAGCACCATAGACTTAGTGGCTGAAAAACAACAGAACTTTATTTTTCACAGTTCTGGAATCTGGAAGTTCAATACCAGGATGGCCTTCAAGATCAGCATTGTCAGATGAGGGCCCGCATCTGGGTCACAGACTTCTCATTGTATCCTCACATGATGGAAACACCTAGGGAGCTCTATGGAATCTTTTTTATAAGAGAACTAATCTCATTCATAAGGGTTCCACCCTCATGACTAACACTGTCACCTTTGGGGGTTAGGATTTCAATGAATGAATTTGGGGCGGGACACAAATGTTCAGACCATAACAACAGGAAAGTAGCCAACAATGAGCTGGCAGTCAGTAGAGGTCAGCCTCTTAGCTCCCTAAACAGGAGAAGAATAGAGAAGAATCAATGGGGAAGGGATAATGACCAGCATAGCATCATTTAGACTATCACAGACTTTTTTCTCTCCTTCAGTCCAACCATCATATTGATACCAGATTGATCTTTATCAAGTGTGTATTTCACCATATCCATCTTCCCAATTTAAATCCTCCAAGGGCTTCCCATTGCCTAAAGGAATAATCCATACAATTCCTGGCCATCTGTCCCATTGGTTAAAAAAAAGCTCTGAACATGTGTCCCAGTTCATTTGTTTATTGCAGGTATGGGCTACAAAGACGGAATGCATTTAAGGGGTCTAGTAGAACTTTGATCTTAAAGTAATAGTGGGAATTTTAAAAGAGTTCCAGTAGGCAGTGGGAAAAATGAATTTTTTAATATTGAGAGCCATCAGATTACAATAATAATAGCTCCACTTTTGGAGCTCCTGCTATATACTTGGCATTATGCTAATCACTTTACATATATTATTTCATCTACTTATCATAGCAACTCTTCGGAATAGGTATAACTATGAGAGAAGTGAAGTACCCTGCTTATGCTCACATGCTTAGTGAATGGAGAAGCCAGAATTTAAACCTGGAAGGTTCTCCTTAATGTAATCTTTCTCCCATTATGCCTCATAGTTAAGACTAGACATTAGAGAAATGTATCATTCTGTAGAAAACCTTGTGTTCTATAGAAAGAGTCAGTGGGTCAAGAAAGTGGATAGGTGAAAGGAGCCAATCTGAAAAGGCTATATACTGCATGATTCCTATATGACAGTCTGGGAAAAGCCAAAACTATGGAGATAGCAAAAAATCACTGGTTGCCAGAGGGTATGGGGAAGGAGGGATGAATAGGCAGAGCAAAGAGGATTTTTAGGGCAATGAAACTACTCTGTATGATACTGTAATGGTAGATACTTGCCATTATATATTTGTCTAAACCCACAGAATGTATACCAAGAATGAACCCCAATGTAAACTCTGGAATTTGGATGAACAGTGTAGGTTCATCAGTTATAACAGAGGTACTCTGGTGGGATACTTTGATGATGGAGAGGATATGCAGGTGTGGGGAAAGGGGGCATGTGGGAAATCTCTGTATCTTCCTCTCAATTTTCTGTGAATACAAAACTGTTCTAAAAATAGATTCTTTAAGACAAAAAGGAAAAAGAAAGGAGATGAATTCAGGCATGAGTCTATAAGGATGGGGCAGTTAGAAAAGATAATGCCTCTAGAGATAGGAAAGACCACTCAGAACTGCACAAGAGAAATGCGGATTCCAATGAGCCAGTTCATGTGTTAGGAAAAGCAGAATTCAGGAAGACATTGATTGAAGAATAAGCTATCTTTATCAAAAAGTTGATGAAGTGCTCACAACATTTCCAACATTGCCTGAACAGAAAGCTTTGTTCCACTAGTCTATTCCTTCTCTCTGTTCACTGTTCTTATAAATTGCATTTCATACATGCTCTGCCTTCTGTGTTGCTCTAATAATTGGTCTGCTCACAACCTGTAAAAATAGAGGGACAGTCATTTGTTAAGCTGTGCATTTACAATTTGCATATTTTCTATATGTGAATAAAATTTACTCTAAAATATAAGGAAAATATGATTCTGTATGGAGGTTGAAATAAATCAGGGATATTGTATCTCTTGTTCCTTGGTAGAGTCAAACACTTCTGTGGCTAAGGGTATTACATATGATAAGAATAGCTTTGGGCTAGGGGCTTGAAAACTGGCATTCTGGCCCCAGCTCTGCAATGAGAATAATTATGTAGTATGGGTAAGTTATCTGTTCTTTCTGAGCTTGAATTTTCTCATATGTTGAAAAGAATGTCCTCGAATCCCTGTTAATGTTCTGTACGGTTGAACATAGAACAAGTCTCATCCTCAAACTGACTCCATAACAGATACTAAAATAGAATCGCAACTCTTCCCTGACTGCAAATCCCCATTACCTGATATTTAAGAGAAGAGCTTGGAAAACATTTTCTAAAAGGGACAGATGGTAAATATTTTAGACTTTACAGGCCATGCAGTCTCTGTTGCAACTATTCAATTCTACAGTTGCAGTGAGAGCAACCATACACAATTCATAAATGAATGAATTTGCCTGTGTTCCAATAAAACTTTATTTACCCAAATAGGTGGTGAGCCAGATATGGCACAGAGGACATAGCTTATCCATCCTATTCAAGGACATAACTTTGTGGCAGTCAGTGCAATTTCCCTTCAGTATATATAGGGAAAAACTTATGTTCACAATAATTAAATAGGATGTTAGAGAGTTGGGATGGGAAAGAAAGAGAGAGGGAGGAAGGAAAGAAAGTAGTAGGAGGAAGGGAGGAGAAGAGAGAGAAAATAAGAGAAGGAAGGAAGGAAAGTGGAAGAAAAATGCAGAGCAAGAGTGGAGAGCTTTGTGAAAGACCATTGGGAGAGAAGGTTGGGTGCCATCTGCCATGAGTGAGGGGCATTGTCAGATTGGAAAAGGCTTGGCTTTGGCATGGAGCTGGCAGCTAAGTTTGGAGAGACCAGTTGGGGAGTGGGTGTGTAATGCTGAGGAACATCCGTCACCTTGTGAAAGAAGTGTACTTGAACCTAGTATGGTGCTGAGTACCAAGGGGAAACCTACTGAATATTTGTGGAGAAGGGGAGGAAGAGAGGGATTACCCCCACTTTATAGATGAAGAAATTCCACAGCCCTGACGCTGTGTGAGGTTGAGGAAGCCATTGCCATTTTTCTAAGAAATCTACAAGGAAACAGAATTCCATGAGGAGGATATTGAATTTCACGCCTGGGAGAATCTTCCAGTGTCCTCACAGGTCCAGTCCTCCTAAGAGAAGGAGAAGAGTGTTGGTGGCCTTGGGGGGGATGCCCATAGCCCAGGCCTGCATGATGCAAAGTGTTATCACGTGGAGATGGGAAGGGGGACTGCAATGCTTATTGTGACTGCTGGTTCCGAGAGTTCAGAATCAGAGGCTGTGTCTTTCCTCTTACAGAGTCTCCCCCATTATTTCCCCTTTTTGATTCTGAATTCTGATGTGGCAGGTAAGAGGGAGAAAAGCTGAGGATGGACTTCTACACTTGGGGCAGAAAATCTGATTCTGGGCCTCTTTCCTGGAGCTTGCTTGCTGTTAGCATCTTGAGATGGTGGGCCAGGGTTAAGAAAGGGAAGCTGGGGGGCACCTGGGTGGCTCAGTGGCTTAAAGCCTCTGCCTTCGGCTCAGGTCATGATCCCAGGGTCCTGGGATCGAGCCCCACATCAGGCTCTGCTTCGCGGGGAGCCTGCTTTCTCTTCTCTCTCTCTGCCTGCCTCCCTGCCTACTTTTGATCTCTGCCTCTCAAATAAATAAATAAAATCTTAAAAATAAAAAATAAAGGGAAGCTGAGATGATGTCTTCAGGTAGGACAACATTCTTCTCTGTGCCATCACGTAAAAGGAAGAGGAGAACTGGATTTTTAGGGAGTCTTAGAAACTTGGAATGTGATTATATTGACTAGCCAACAAATCTGTAAGATTTCACACAAGTCATGCACTTAATATAGAGCTGGATTACAGTTTGCACTAATTGATTAATTTTATTTCACAAACTAAAAATTTTACTATACAAATGTATGCAAATCGTATAGAAAAATTGCCTTCCTAGCCAAGCGCACCAGCACCTGTTGGGGTTTCTCGTTGTTTCTTTGGTTTTATTTGTTTGTTTGTTTCACTGGAACTGTGCCACTGGGGTAGAAAATGAAATAATAAGTAATTCAGGATTTGAAGTTGTTTGTTGAACAATATCCTGAAAGGTGATCAGAAGGCTTTCTCCTTTGACAAATACCATGGTGACTGGTGTGTCTTTTTTCCTCTTTCTTGCCTGACACAGAATGAAGAAGATGAGCAACATTTATGAGTCTGCTGCCAATACGCTGGGAATCTTTAACAGCCCCTGCCTGACCAAAGTTGAGCTGCGTGTTGCCTGCAAAGGCATTTCTGACAGAGATGCCCTTTCCAAACCAGACCCCTGTGTCATCCTTAAGATGCAGTCCCATGGGCAGTGGTTTGAGGTAGGCATGTCCAAGGAAATGGACAGAAGCATGGCTGGGGGGATCGATTCAGAAATGTTTTTTGCATTTCCTGTCTTCAGATGGTTTTGATGAGACAGAACATTCTTGAAATGAATATGATCACATTTCTGCTTGTATCGTGATGTTTGGATGCGGTGGTTTTAATGCCCTGGGTATTTTGACATTTACCCTTACTCTGTGTGCTCACTGTGGGCATAGTAACCCTGGGAAGGGTGGAGAGGATTGCCTTGTAGAGGCCACATCTTACATTTATTTTTGGGAATGAAAACTTAATATTAATTACATTTTCCTGGGGGCTCACCAAGGGTCTGGCACCGTTTTAAGTACTATATATAAAATAACCAAGTTGGTCCTCACGATAATCCTCTGAGGAACAGAGACAGATGAGGAAACACTGAAAGGTGAAGGATTTGCCCAAGATCATTCAGCTTGTGAACGGAAAACCTAACATTTACACACAGGCTGCTGGGCTCCAGAGCTTGGGCTCTGAATTGCTATTTTATCCTTATCGTGAGTGCCAGTGTGTGCGCTCTTGGTGGTTTGTGTGGAGATATTGCAGGTTGAATTCTGCCCTTGGCTTTTGCACATTGATTTAAACGTCAAAACGGATCAGATGAGGACTAGGTTTTTTATGTTTTGTTTTTGTTTTTATTTTCGTTTTTTGTTTGCTTTTGGGTATCTCGTCTGAGTGAGCAAAGCTCTGTTCTGAGGTGGATGGTGAGATTGGGAGGAGCAGGGGGTACAGCTAACAGAGAAGTATTATCACCTCAAACGGCATGAGGTACTGGAATTTGGAGAAGGGATTTGAAGCCACGCTGAGCAGAACAGTAGTAGAGAGCCACCTGCTTTGGGTCCCTGACAGCAAACTCCTCAAGTCTTCAATACTTCTCCCACCTGTTTGCAAATAGCTGGAAGATGCTGTTCTAGGGGGTCAACTCTTCCATACCACAGAAGAAAGGAGGCTCCAGAGGCCTGAGAGGCAGTGTGTTTGGTGGGTGAGTAGATGAAATTCAGGTCGAGGCAACTTGCATGGGGCAATGCGTCATCATAAGTCTTTAACTTCAGACTTATTTAGGGCTTATATTGTAAACATTAAACAGCATTCACAGGTATCTTAATGTGTAATATATTTTTTTCCTTCCAAATAGTCTCACTGACTTTGTTGGTGTGTTTTGTTGTTTTTTATTTTTTATTTATCAGAGTGAAATGACAGCTTACATTAGAAGAAAATCACTCCTTGAAAATGAGGGAAGAAATTAGAAAGAATTCATCTCCTAATGCCCCCTTTACCTAAGTCAACTATTATTTGTATATAGGTCTTTTCCTTCTGGTGTTCATATTTTTACCTGATTCTTATCATGCATATAAAATTTTATTCCCTCATTTTATGACCTCGTAGTATATTTTTCTATATTGCTGTGCTATTCATGATTATAATTTTTAAAGTTGCATAGTATCCCACCACATGAACTTATTTATAATTTTCCTGCTTTTTCACTTTGAAGTTGCTTCTAAAAATACCCTATTTTAAACTGCAGTGGACATCTTTGTGCATAAGACTTTTCTCTACTATTTGAATGAGTTCCTAGGAAACATTGTCAAAGTAGAAGAACAGGTACAAAGGATAGGAAACTTTGGGGGCTTTTGGTAAATATTGTCATGTTGTTTTTCTAGAGTGCTCTATTAAGTGTTACTCAAAGTATGGTTTGCGTATAACTACCAGCTCATAAACTCTTTGTTACCGGTGCACAGATAAGAAACTGGTGCTCCCGATGTAAATTGATACACTGCTTCCTTCATTCAAAAAGTCTTACTCTTTAAAAAAGTTAAACTTCCAACATATGAAGTGATAGGCTGATTTATAATCTGGCACTTTGAGAAACACTTCTGTAATACACTTTACACTCTTTTAACAATATATATTCAGGATACAGTTAGAAAAACACAGCCCATGCCAGGTAGCTAATGAAGGATTTAGTTCAGGGAATTAGTAATGAAGAAGTTGGAAATGCTGAGAGACTAAATAGCGACAGTGTGGGAACCCAGGCATCAATGACAGGAGTCTGTTACTTTGCTTAGGGTGTGGTAGTAGAGAGCTGAGGCCAGCTTGTATAGGCTTGTGAAAGCTGACTCTTAAGTATTCAGGAACTTTGCAGGCAGTTTTGATATGGGTATCCCCACCACATACATTGGCAAACATTTCAAATCAGGGCTCACCTTCCACCCAAAGCCAACTGTTACATATGTATCAACAGACCACTGGGTGAGAGGGGCCAAAGAAGGAGATGGTAGTACCAGAACCAAACAGCCATCTAGCACAAACTGAATCCATGGAAGGGGACGCCTATCTGGTAGGAGTGAAAGATGGAGGAGATGTAGATGGTGCTAGAAATGCTGCCTGAAAGGGAGATGAAGATATCCCAGCATCTGCCTGCCTCTTGCTCTCATGTATCCCGTTTGTGTCTTCCACTGATCGAACCTTGGTGGAAGTCCATTGACAAGGTTTGCAGGGAAAGGGTATAGAACGCTCTTGAGAGCAAAGAAGTAAATGACCAGCACGGAAACTTTTGACAACTCACAGTAGCTTGAATAATCATTCTCCCTCTCAGCAAGTAAAGCATATTTATTTACTGCTAACACCTTCTTTTCAATACAAATTCATCAAGTGGTCTTATGCCAGGAGTTAGAAACACACCTGTGTCACAAGTTAAAAACATCCGACAGTCTATTTAAAGCATGTGGCTACTACTATCTATGTTCAGTGAAGGCTGGCAAACATGGACAGTGCACTGGCATGACATTTATTGATGCGTGCATTTTCCTGTGTCTACCCCTTACAACATGTCTGGATTTACAGAGAGATTCCTATGTACACTGTTACAGAATTGAGAGAAAGCCTTGCAGAAGAAAATTCATGTTGGCTCTGCCCATGTCTTCTTGGTGGGGAAATCTGGTAATTGCCTAAGTGAAGAAAAAAGAGCGAGACTAAACTATTTGGATAATGAAGAGATTGTTGGTGGGTGGGTGCTGTGTCGAGGTGAGAGGGGAAAAGCAGGGTGAGCTTATCTTTCAGAGGGAATTTTAAAAGTTTGGCGAAGAGACTCTAGATCAGCACTGTCCGATAGAACTCCCTGGAATAATAGAAATGTTCTTCATCTGTGCTGTCCAGGGAGGTAGTCACTAGCCCCTGAAAGGTAGCTAGTGTAACTGAGGAACAAAAATTTTTTAAATATTTAATTTCAGTTAATTGAAAATTGAAATGTAAATAGCCAGCCTGGTTCCAGAATCTCTGGTGCGCTAGTGAATTTGGCTGGGTTTGAGAGAAGAAGAAAGGTAATCTAAAAATGTTACATACAGTAGGCTCTTAATTTGACAACTTAAATTGTTTTGGGGGAGGTGTAACTACAGATTGACATTTCTTTTTTATTACTTGTGATTGCTGGCCTGTGCTTTTGTAATGGACTTGCAGCAAGGAAGGGGGCCCATTTTGCCCTGGTTTACAGTTCAGGTTATTACTAGTTAGTTAGAACTGCCTTTAGATGGCCTTCTCATACGGAGGGGAACTGTTGGCTTTTTAATTGGCTGTAGCTGTTAACCCTGGAAGGGAACATTGGCCTCTAAAGTAAGCATGAAACTGTAAACCTGATTTTTAGACTCAAAAAGACCTATAAGTCTGACCTTCTGTGTTCCTAATAGTATTAAGTGCCAGTGAGGATAAATCTATGTTTTCGATATATTGGAAATCAATTGGTCTGTAATGCATAAGAGACTGTTGCTCTTCTCGGACCAGCAGAGTTTGAGATGAAAATCTGATGAGTGAGAAGACGGAGAGGATCCTTTTTGTCTCCTCCCAAAATATGGAGATGGGATGGTGTTCTTGTTGGGTGAAACTTCCAGTATTTCTTTAGTGGTCATGATTTTCACTATCAGAAAGGAAGGAAAAGGATACTTGTAGGTTGGAAATGCATTCGAAACTGAGAGTTTCAGAGTTAACATTTAATTTCCCTAATTTGGAATCATACCCCTTTAAAAAATCCTCCCTGCACCATCTCCTGGCCACATGACAGCAATAGTATATGGTACAGCAGAGTGTAATGACATATAGACCACATTTCATTTTCTGATGAAGAGTGGAAATAATTTCCTCCTACCTTCTGGTGAATACTGATGTGTTCATTAACTTTTGGAACTAAACATCATAGTCAAGTGGGAAAAATTAACACTTCTCAGGGATTCAAAAGACAGGGTCCCTTGTGAACTAAAGACTTTTATTCAGTTTCCTGGAGCATATGCTGTAGCCCCTGGGCACATTGAGTGTCCTCCATGAGGCAGAGCTAAGCCCACAATGCCTTGGCCTTTGGCAGAAATCCTATAAATGGCATGTACTTGTCTTCATTGGAAAAAGCTGAATTATTCCCACGCTGTTAAGATGTTGCTCCAATCACCTTTAATTCCATTTTTACATTTAGGGGTTTTTTTTGTTTGTTTGTTTCAATTCTCCATAATGGAAATTTTATTATCTTAAAAGACTTGTTAAGGAAACTCACTACATTTAATTTTAATGCACAGTTCTTGAGTTCCTCCATAGGAAGCTCTAAGTAATTCTGAGAGCTAATTACTATTGGATCAATTCCATATGATAACATGTTATATGAATCATGTGCTTTGGTAGATTGTTGGTAATAATAGCAATTGGTAGTAGTAATTAGTGTGGTTATATCTGAGAGTTATCAGTGGACTCTGATGCAATGTTATTATTACTTACAATAATATATCCATATATTTGTATTCACAAAGGCCATCTACCTATATTATTTCATTTGCTTCTTATAATAGTTTCATGAAAAGGTGTTACAGACATTGAAATTAATTCCAACACTTATTGGGTGTCATGAAAGAACATGGTTTGTACCCTCAAAGACCTCAGAGTCTCGTGGAGGAACTCAGTCTGTCTTACAGGTTCAGATGGTCATATGACC